GGTAACTCAAGTCACAAACTCAGTTCAGGTAGTCCTAAATCTTTTCTCCAGGTTGGGACTAATTGTCAATTTAAAGAAATCAAATCTAGTTCTGTCCTAGACTATCAAATTTATAGTACATTTTCTGGACTCCAAAACAGCAGGAGCCTTTCTCCTGCATCTGCCGCTTAATTTCAGATGTGAATACTCATCCTTGAAATTTGGTGAATCTTTCTATAAGTGTTAGGCCACTAGACCTTGGGAGGTCAAACACCTAACCCGACCAGCAGGTAGAGGGTAGAATGACACTCAAAAGTGAGTGTGTGCTGGACCTATCTTTATACCCATTGGGTCACGTATTTCTCTTTCTTATCTGTGATGCCAAATGGGGCTGGTCTGTCTTTTGTGAGACCAGTTCTTACAAGGGGGTTGTGAACTTAATTTACACGTGTAAGAGAGAGTTGAGAGGATTAAATTGGAAGTACTGGGCATTCTTTTTCTCAGTGGGAAATTCCTCTTCCAGGGACTGTGTGTTCGTATCAACATGGGTGCCAGCCGGGTACTTCTCGCAGCCTCGAGGCCAGCTTATTGCCTTAATCGTTCTCTCCTCATATCTATGTTTTCAGCTTCTCAGGATCAGATGAGCCAGCATAGACTATGCTGATTTTATTGCTCCTTCTCTGTCCTGTATGCTTCAGGAACCTCAGAGAGGCAAAATAAGATGGATGAGATGGGGGGGCTGTCTGGCTACAGCAGCTAACAGGCGCAAATGGGGTATTGGAGCTTTACATTGATCCTGGGCACTTCGTTTGACAGCCCCTCATGGGGCTGGCACAGGTGCTAGAATTGTTCCAACCCACCAAGAGCTCAGACTGTCCTGCGCCTGGCTCTGGGGTGTGCTCAGGGGGTGTTGTGTTCTCAGACGGGTGGGTAGAGGCTGTTCCTCTTTCTTTGGGGCCTGGATATCTTGGGGCCAGGGTCATTAGCTCTGGAGCCCCTCCAGTGCCTGCATCCCAGCTGGGGGAGTTTTTGGTTTTCACTTCTCTGGCTCTGAATTGTGGGTGGGCTCCTGGATTTAATTGCTGGGGCTGGCCAGGATCCTCTCTTGCTCATCCCACCCTGTTGCCTCTTCCAGGAATGGGCACGGTGAAGGTGTCTGTGGGTGCTGCCAGCATCCAGGTGGTGAGGGGAGGGAACGCGCTTCTGCCTTGCACCTTCCACACCACGGCCTCGCTGAGTCGCCTCAACATCATCTGGACAGTCACCCCGCTGGCGGAGCCGGACCACCCCCAGCAGGTGAGCGGAGCCTGACCTTTTCCCCTCCCTGCACTTCCATTGACAGAGGACGGTTAGCTTCAGTACAGTGAGGAATCAGGACCCCGGGATGCTGCGCACTTTCCTGCCCAGATTGCTCACAGCCTGGGATGGTGGACAGATGGAAAAGGTGGAGAAAGCAATGGGTGGGAGCATCGAGACACGAGGTCAAATGGACTTGTGATGTCCAGTAAATAACAATGCCCATTCACCAGCTGCTGTCAGATGGCCAAATTTTGCAGGCATCGCAGCAGGGAGACCTGTTGCGAGCGTTCCATGCAATTTCTTCAAGACCATTAACCTGTGGAACTCCTTGCTGCAGGATATTTAAAAGGCCAACAATTTAACAAGGAGTCGATGCACAGGAATAATATCAGCAGCTCCAGACATGCTGTCCAGATAAAACCACAAGGCTCAGATTTCAGGGTAGAGTTCACTAAGGAGTCAGGAGGAAGCCCCTCTCCCCCCCGCTCTGCCCTGCCCCCGTGGAGTACTGCTGCATAGCAGCTATGGAATATTATATTATTGAGACATCTGCCTTCTCTGACAATGCAGATCACAGCCCAGCCCAGCCCAGCCTCGCCTTTCTGGACATAAAGAGTAATTTTAAAAGCAGCCTGTTTTCTCAGTCACCCGGGGGAACACAGGGCTGGGGCTACAGTGCTCCCTGGAAGCACCCCCCTGTTAGGTTCATCAAAGCCCATGCCAGCTCCTTTGCAGTAGACACAGCCAAGCTCCTGTGGACACTGGGCTTGCCTTGAAGCCTTCCGGGAATAGGAACATACGAACAGCTAGGTCAGACCATGAATTTAACAGGGCCGTGTCCAGTGATCCATCCTCTGTCGTCCAGTCCTACCTACCCCAGTCTGCAGTACAGGGACACCCAGAGCATGGGGTTGCTTCCCTGAGCATCCCGGCAGTAGCCATTGATGGCACTCACCTACATAGTTGGTGGCAGAAGTGGGATTTGACGTAGACATTCCTGGCTCCCAGTCCGATGCTTTGCCCACTGGCCCACACAGTCTCTGCCAGTGCAATGGAAGTGTCCTGTGCTCAAAGACAGAGTAAGGGGCAGCATTGCATCTCTGGCTCATGGCTGGGTTCTTCCTTCCTTTCCCCACAACTCCAGGTGCTGGCCTATGAGCAGGGAGAGGTGGTGGAGAGCCTGTCCCAGTACACGGGCCGCGTGGGCTTTGCCTTCTCGCCCACCCAGAGCGCCACCATCTTCCTCAACAAGACACGCAGCTCGGACAGCGGGACATACCAGTGCAGCGTCATGAACCCGCCCGACAGGGACATGCCCAACATCGGGGTCATTCAGCTCACCGTGCTTGGTACGTCCCGCCCCCACGTGGAGGAAGCCCCAACTCCCCTTTGCTGACACCCGCTCCCCTCCCCCACCAGATCCTGGAGACCCTGTATGTGTGTGTGTGGGTCCAACTGTGTGTGGGTCTTGGGGGTGTGTCTATCTCTGTGTTTGGCACTTAGTGTGTGCGTCTGTGTCTTGGGGTATGTGGGGCTTGGGGAATGTCTGACTGTGGTGGGTAGGAGGAGGTCTTTGTGTGTGTGTCCCTGTGTGGCTGGGAGTGAGTGCTAGCATGTGTGTGTGTGTTTGTGTGTTTGTGTGTGTGTGTGTGTGTGTATGCTTCCTGCCTGGGCCCATGTTTGCATCTTAGCATGTGCACACATATCTGAGCAGCTGTCTGGCTGTGTGTTTTGTGCACACTTCATTGTGGGCCTCTGTGTTACATCTATGCATCTGGGAGTGAGGTCTGGGGGTGACCCCTGTAGCTGTGTGCGTGCCTAGATCTGATTGCTATGTGTGTGTGTATGGGAGGGGCAGAACGGTGTGTGTGTGTGTGTGTGTGTGTGTGTGTGTGTGCAGGATTTGCACTCATCTGACTTGTCTAGCTATTGTGTGCATACTCTAGGCATATGTGTGAGTGCACGTGCAGTGTGTTCCTCTGCACCGAGGATGCGTGTACCATGCATTGGGTGTGTGTGTGTTAGAGTGCAAGCACGCCGAGTGTGTGTACCATGCGGTGTGTGTGCGTACATACCGGAGTGTGTGGCTCTTGTAGCTGAGTGAACCCACCCCCCAGCTCTCTGATGGGCGATAACAACCCCCAGGCTCTCGGTAGCAGGGGGGAAAGGGAGGGCCCCAGCCTCTGTCGTCCAGTCCTACCTACCCCAGTCTGCAGTACAGGGACACCCAGAGCATGGGGTTGCTTCCCTGAGCATCCCGGCAGTAGCCATTGATGGCACTCACCTACATAGTTGGTGGCAGAAGTGGGATTTGACGTAGACATTCCTGGCTCCCAGTCCGATGCTTTGCCCACTGGCCCACACAGTCTCTGCCAGTGCAATGGAAGTGTCCTGTGCTCAAAGACAGAGTAAGGGGCAGCATTGCATCTCTGGCTCATGGCTGGGTTCTTCCTTCCTTTCCCCACAACTCCAGGTGCTGGCCTATGAGCAGGGAGAGGTGGTGGAGAGCCTGTCCCAGTACACGGGCCGCGTGGGCTTTGCCTTCTCGCCCACCCAGAGCGCCACCATCTTCCTCAACAAGACACGCAGCTCGGACAGCGGGACATACCAGTGCAGCGTCATGAACCCGCCCGACAGGGACATGCCCAACATCGGGGTCATTCAGCTCACCGTGCTTGGTACGTCCCGCCCCCACGTGGAGGAAGCCCCAACTCCCCTTTGCTGACACCCGCTCCCCTCCCCCACCAGATCCTGGAGACCCTGTATGTGTGTGTGTGGGTCCAACTGTGTGTGGGTCTTGGGGGTGTGTCTATCTCTGTGTTTGGCACTTAGTGTGTGCGTCTGTGTCTTGGGGTATGTGGGGCTTGGGGAATGTCTGACTGTGGTGGGTAGGAGGAGGTCTTTGTGTGTGTGTCCCTGTGTGGCTGGGAGTGAGTGCTAGCATGTGTGTGTGTGTTTGTGTGTTTGTGTGTGTGTGTGTGTGTGTATGCTTCCTGCCTGGGCCCATGTTTGCATCTTAGCATGTGCACACATATCTGAGCAGCTGTCTGGCTGTGTGTTTTGTGCACACTTCATTGTGGGCCTCTGTGTTACATCTATGCATCTGGGAGTGAGGTCTGGGGGTGACCCCTGTAGCTGTGTGCGTGCCTAGATCTGATTGCTATGTGTGTGTGTATGGGAGGGGCAGAACGGTGTGTGTGTGTGTGTGTGTGTGTGTGTGTGTGTGCAGGATTTGCACTCAGGGGGGAAAGGGAGGGCCCCAGCCTCTGTCGTCCAGTCCTACCTACCCCAGTCTGCAGTACAGGGACACCCAGAGCATGGGGTTGCTTCCCTGAGCATCCCGGCAGTAGCCATTGATGGCACTCACCTACATAGTTGGTGGCAGAAGTGGGATTTGACGTAGACATTCCTGGCTCCCAGTCCGATGCTTTGCCCACTGGCCCACACAGTCTCTGCCAGTGCAATGGAAGTGTCCTGTGCTCAAAGACAGAGTAAGGGGCAGCATTGCATCTCTGGCTCATGGCTGGGTTCTTCCTTCCTTTCCCCACAACTCCAGGTGCTGGCCTATGAGCAGGGAGAGGTGGTGGAGAGCCTGTCCCAGTACACGGGCCGCGTGGGCTTTGCCTTCTCGCCCACCCAGAGCGCCACCATCTTCCTCAACAAGACACGCAGCTCGGACAGCGGGACATACCAGTGCAGCGTCATGAACCCGCCCGACAGGGACATGCCCAACATCGGGGTCATTCAGCTCACCGTGCTTGGTACGTCCCGCCCCCACGTGGAGGAAGCCCCAACTCCCCTTTGCTGACACCCGCTCCCCTCCCCCACCAGATCCTGGAGACCCTGTATGTGTGTGTGTGGGTCCAACTGTGTGTGGGTCTTGGGGGTGTGTCTATCTCTGTGTTTGGCACTTAGTGTGTGCGTCTGTGTCTTGGGGTATGTGGGGCTTGGGGAATGTCTGACTGTGGTGGGTAGGAGGAGGTCTTTGTGTGTGTGTCCCTGTGTGGCTGGGAGTGAGTGCTAGCATGTGTGTGTGTGTTTGTGTGTTTGTGTGTGTGTGTGTGTGTGTATGCTTCCTGCCTGGGCCCATGTTTGCATCTTAGCATGTGCACACATATCTGAGCAGCTGTCTGGCTGTGTGTTTTGTGCACACTTCATTGTGGGCCTCTGTGTTACATCTATGCATCTGGGAGTGAGGTCTGGGGGTGACCCCTGTAGCTGTGTGCGTGCCTAGATCTGATTGCTATGTGTGTGTGTATGGGAGGGGCAGAACGGTGTGTGTGTGTGTGTGTGTGTGTGTGTGTGTGTGCAGGATTTGCACTCATCTGACTTGTCTAGCTATTGTGTGCATACTCTAGGCATATGTGTGAGTGCACGTGCAGTGTGTTCCTCTGCACCGAGGATGTGTGTACCATGCATTGGGTGTGTGTGTGTTAGAGTGCAAGCACGCCGAGTGTGTGTACCATGCGGTGTGTGTGCGTACATACCGGAGTGTGTGGCTCTTGTAGCTGAGTGAACCCACCCCCCAGCTCTCTGATGGGCGATAACAACCCCCAGGCTCTCTTTAGCTGTTGTGGGGTCTGGGCGACGCCCGTCCATGGCAGCTCCCCCACAGGCTTTGTGTGTGTCCCTGCAGTGCCCCCCTCCAGCCCTGAGTGCTCCAGCGAGGGGAGCGGAGAGGAAGGGGGGGACATCCGCCTGTCCTGCGGGGTGCGGGAAGGCGTGCCGGCCCCCACCTTCACCTGGGAGAAGATCCCCCCTGACAAGCAGCCCCTGGTGACCAGCTACACAGGTACTGGGAGCGGAGCGGGGGGGTGGGCCCCGGAGCAGGGTTTGGGTCTCAGAGCGACGGCCGGCCCCTGAGCACGAGTCCCCAGCCGTACATGTGCCGCCTTGCCTAGGGCGTGCACACAGGGGCCGGGGCCACATGACCCGTGTGCCACATGC